ATCATCATCATCATCATCATCATCATCATCATCATCATCATCATCATTCCACCAGTTCTTTGCACGTGAATAAGCTCCATGGCGTTTTCACTCCTCCAGGAGACTGCGTTTGGCGCTGCGATGTCGACCTCGAAGCTCTCGGAATTCCCTGGAGAGCCAGTTCCTCTCAAGTCCAACCTGCGCAGGTTCGTGCACATGCGCAGCCTTCCCCCGGTTCGCCGGTTTGCAGCTTCGACAGGGGAGCGTTCTGGGGTCGACCATGACACTGTTTGGGTCTGGATCGGGGAGCGTTACAGTATCTTATGTTGCGTGCAGCATGGGAGTCTTTGAGGAGGGCTAGGATAGGCTACGTCAGCTTGTGAGGTCGCCAACACCTTGACAACTGGCCATAGCTGGCTATGGCTACCGCTGGGACCATCATTCACCAATTGCCGGGCCAGTCCTTGTCAAAGCATCAGATGCCTCAACGCCGAAGGACGGCGGCAGAGACGCCCCAGTCAAAAAGAAAATGATCTGAGAAAGGCACGATCCCGGGTCAAGGAATATTTTATTTTCTGACATCATCTGACATCTCTACATGAATTTGTACGTAGAAGCTGCATGACCATATCTGACCATCTCTAGATATATACTTGGTTCACTCGAATGTGGCAACCAGCACAAGACCGGCCGCTTCCCTCATAAACTCGTTTGCTCAAGCCAGGTAGCCATCTTGAGCTTTTTTGCTGGTGGCTCACGGATGAAATCACAATCCTCCTAGCAGGGTGGCTCCAATCCGTGTGGCGTGCGATACCGGTCCCCATGAGGCGATCCGAGGCGATCGGGGACCCGTTGACCCTCTTGGGTCGCAACAAAGAACGACCTGTGGGATGGCTATAACACCCAGAGCTCGTGCCTCTAAATCTGAAGAAGCAGCTGAGTTGCCTTGGATGACAAATGCAAGTTCTGACAGTCTGTAGATGCCAGGAGCAAATGGTAGAAATCTGCCTGTCCAACTGCTCCTGTTGTCCTCCTGTTGTCCTCCCTGTGAAGTACCAAGTCACCATCTCTGCTCTTATTTGAGACCGCATTCATCGACGCACGTGGACATCACGTGCGTATCTGCTTCTGCAAGCCATCTCGATCCAAAATGTCGACAGCTGAGGGCGGACGCTGTCTCAGCATGGTCCAAGAGAAATGGCACAGAGATCCAAAAAGGAGACATGTTCTGCATCAGTCCAGTTTCCAGATGACCCCATGACCGCCTTCCTACCTCCCACCTTCCACCAGACAACTGTCTCAGAGTCGCCCCAAGTGGGGGACAAATGGTTCATCAAAGAGAGCGCCATGGGCCAATCCTCGGACGAGGCATCAGTGTCGAGGCACGGTGCCGATCGGCAAGGCTTGCTTCCGTCCGAGGGCGATTCGGTCCAACAAGAGATCTTGGGAGAGGTCACATTGCAAAAGTAGGGCGTGAGGTTGCTTGTCTTGGAAGGATGGTGAAATACAGAGGATGTTCATGGATGTTGGTGGAAATTCAGTCTACTTGCTCTACATTGATTAAGGCCTGTTCAAATTCCTGCAGCCACCTCCACCAGTAGATATGACCACAGTGTAGTCTTTGCTGCTACTCAAATTCGAAGACCGCGGACCTCAACTCACTTCAACTGGCAAACCATCAGGTTTTCCTTCGTCAGCAACTTCAAGTAGGCTCAGCTGTTCTTCTCTCCATGAAAGAAACAACATCTTTTGGCATCAGCCTACTGTTTTGTGTGCTGAGTGTTGGAACCGCAGTGCTGTCAATGGATGTTCATCCACTTTTTGACCAACGCCAGCCGGTTTGTAGATCTTCTGCCAAAAAAGAGACACGACATGTTTGAGTTCATGAGGACGCCCTCCGATTCACTGGGCGGCCTCTATCCCTTTTGCAGCTGCAAGTGCTCCGCCATACCTAGCGCGAATGGGGACGTAGAAGGCACAGTCGTGGGTTCTGCTCAAAGCCTTCCTCTCTCTGAACTCAGAGACCAAACCAACGAAGAACTCAGAAACGCTGGATCTGTTGAGCATCTAGCACCCCAAGAAACGCTTGTGACTCCACGTCTGGAATCCATGATATCTGCTGGGATCGCGCACAAGACCTTGTCTGGCAGAATCTGACTCACCACCATCTGCTGAAGTAACCTGACAATTTTTGATCGTCAGTCTGGAGAGGTCAACGGAGAAACCTCTTTCAACGCTACGACGTACGAGCTGGCTTCGGTTGTACAACCCTGACTCATTGACAGGTCACGAGAAACCCGCAGCATCGCTCCATCTCGCCAGGGTCTCAAATTGCAACGGTTCTTCAAACAGAACTGAAGCGACTTGTGGCACCTGCTTTTGAGAACCTGTTGCATTTGTCAATTGGCGAGCCTCCAGCCAATTATATAATTCATCTGTCCAAACAACACCGCCACGCAACTGACACCACAGAAACCCTTCCGCAGGATCTGAATGAGTCTTGAGCTTTGAACGCAATCGCATGATTGCAAGTCAAGAATGTCAATGTGGCAAAATATAGAACCCCAACACCGGCAAAATCCGACCACATACTGGAACTCCAACTCCCTACGAACGTCCTGCTGTTGGGAAAACCAAAGTCCCAAGCCGCGCCTCAAGCCGCGTGGACCTTCGCCCGACCGGACCTGAAAACGCCGCGTAGAAAAGGGCAGGCGGGCGGATCTTGGAAACTGTTACAGAAAAATGTTCTGAAATCTTGAAAGTCAGAAGCACCATACCCAAGGAGCACCGACGTTCGTTTCGGTGTAAAATGTTGTTCCCACCGAGAAAAGCACTACGAGTATGTACCGAAGACAGGCCTCAACTGAGAAAACCTGACAAAAATCGCATCTAGGTGGGAGGTCATCGCAACAGGGTGGAGGCCATAGGTTGGTTGCGTACACAAACGATGTGAACCCGCATCACAATCTAATGCAAGCTCACGTCACCATCAGGTTAAACAGAGGGGTAGGCTGGAGGCCATCGCATCAAGGTGAGTCCCCACCACAAAATTACAAGCCATCGCTAGTAGGTTGACTGCATGCAAACTGGACATTTAACACACAAGCAGCAAGTGCAAATCTTTGTAAAAAAGCAACAACAAGCATGACTGCAAACCTGAAAACCTAAACAGCCTGGCACCTCTACGAGTGGTCGGTAGTTACAACATTCACAACCAATGCAGGTACATGATGTACATGGGCCTGGCCAAGTCCCACATCCCGCGATATCACCCACCATGACTAACGGGTGATATCGCGCCTTGACCCCCTGTGACCTTTGATTCCAGGCTATTCACGCCTCCCAAGGCCTGAGGCGTATGTGCAGTCTCCATCCTCCCCGGAAAGGGGGTTGCGAAGGCACATGTGCACGTAAGAGGGACAAAAGAGAAGACATGAAAAGAGGACGAGGCAAGACGAAAGTGTGTGGTTGCCGATGAAGGGAGAACCAAATGAAAAGGGACGACCGATGAACCGAACCTCCTTGTAGCGATACCTGGGGCACCTATACCTAGTTTGGTGAAAAAGGTACGCGTGTGTGTGTGTGCGCACAAACTCAGGTCTGGATAGAAGTGCGCGCAAAAGAGGAAAAGGGTGAAGACGACAGGACATGAAGACAGAACGGACATGAAAGAAAAGAGGGTGACGGTGTGTGGGGGCCAATGAAAAGGAAAGTAAAGGGACAAAACGGTGAGCAGCCAAACCTCATTAAAGACCATGTTGCAAACACCTCGTTTGTCTGTAACCACGTTGCGCACAGGGGAGGGAAGGGACAGGAAAAAAGAAAAGGAGAAAGGAGACAAAACGGGGATGCTCCCAGCTACGATTTATATAACCGTCCAAGGACGCATCCAAACAGGAGAAGGGTTTACACACACGCGCGTGCGAATTATACAGTCTTTATGATGCTTTTCCGGCCCGGCCCGGCTAGGCCTTGATTCGCTGTTCATCCAGGAATTATGACCTCTTGACAGAAGTCCGACCAGACAAGTGGCACAGGCGATGACTGCAGCGGTGCATGCAGGTAGAGTTAGCCTCAGTCGAATCATTGGCAATCTAGGAAGGTTGAACATTTTTAACAATGCTTCATGTTCCTGTAAGATGATAGTAGAGCCATTTTCTTTGATTATCTTGACATCTCAAGTACATACGTGTGCCTAAGAACCAAACAGGAGTTCGTTCTTCGTGGGATAGGCTTGCCCACATCTTTTTCCGAACAAATTCAGCACAATCCGCACGTTTGGGGTAGTGAGATGAAAACGACCTTGGCTCATTGTGTATGCCGGAGTCCAGCAGGATCTATTGTCTCAACCAAAGCTTAGGAATGCCACATCGCCTGAGTTCAGAACGCGACAGCCTGGTGCATCCTGTCAAGGAAGTAAATGGCACCCGTCCAGTGAGCACCTCAACCGAAATCTTTCAAGGCACAAAGAAAGGAGGGAGACTTTTCTCAGAAGAAACCTACGTGAGAACATGCAGAATAGATCGCTGAAAAAGAAATCCTCTTGCAAATCAGTTGAGATGGAGAGCGTGGGAAAGTTTATGCAACGACAGTTGATGGATGGGTGGCAAGCAAGCCTGTTCCGGCGGGTCATGCTCATTTCCAAGAAAGGAACACCTTGGCCCGGAGGACCTAGCGCCACTCCTGTTCTACTGCATACCCTAAGCTACTCTAAAACCATCTATCCCCTACTGTGTCTGACCGCCACGCAGAATTTGTCACCAACTCAACTTGGAGGAACCCTTGGGCATTCGGCTGCACCTCTCTGAGAACCCCTGCTATCTCCACAGCATGCCAACATCGAAGCAAAACTGTTCTGGTCCAACCGGATGGAGCTACGTTGCATCTCCGTGAGCTGCGCTTGTGCTTGCGGCCAGCCTCGGGTGCTCGGGTGCTTAGCCAGTGGGGAAGCGCTTCCCAAGAGATGGAGGCGTCGTACTGCGGGGCTTGTCCCTTTCGTGGCTGGTGATGTTCTGGGAGTCAGTGATTCAGGGTACGGACATCAAACGGGAGCAGAGAAGTGACTTCAAGCATCCTCTCAAACACAGGTGGCACAAGTTCCTCCCAATCTTCTTAGCAGTCTGCAGTGTACTTCGTTCTCAGGCTCCAACCCCCAGAACTTCCTTTTAAAAACTTTATCATCGCTGCATGTGTTGTGTGTGTGTGTTTCCGGCTGTTAGGAGAGTTGTGTTGAGCAAAAAACATGAATCGCCAGCTTTGTTCGCGTTTCTTGTGCTGCATTAGATTTTTTGTATAGCCAAAGAGTATAATTCACATGCCTAATAATCGCTGCTGGTGCCTATAGATGTGTACTGTAAGTTTGCATATACAATTCCGTTGGTGCCTTATAAACTGATACTTATCTACAAATAACAAC